GCAATCCAAAAGAGTCCAGTGGAGCCTAAGCAGTGGGTGTTGCCTTCTGACACACTCCCAGTGATGTCAGGGGGTGTGGCATATGCAAATAAGTTATGCTAATTAGTTATGCTAATGTGTGCCTACACTTCTTTTTCTACAAAATGACCCCTGGGGAAAGGGTTAGTAGAATTCTTTCATTCAGGGACACTCAGCAGTTGACCCCACCCTCTCAGTGGCTAGATGTTGAGCCGCTTTGGCCCTCGCTTGCCTTCTGTTTTCATCTTATACAGGACCTGTCTTCTTCCCTCTCTTACCTGGGCTCGGAGCTGTAGGAAGTTAAGCTTTTTGGAGTTGATCTGTTCATGTTAAGTTAAATGTAAAAGGTAAAGGTTCCCTTGCTCGAAAGCCAGTCGAATCCGACTCTAGGGTTGCGGTGCTCATCTCCGTTTCAAAGCCGAAGAGCCAGCGCTGTCCGAAGACGTTTCCGTGGTCATGTGGCCGGCATGACTAAGCACCAAGGTGCACAGAACGCTGTTACCTTCCCACTGAAGTGGTACCTATTTATCTACTTGCAATTTCTTGCTTTCAAACTGCTAGGTTGGCAGGAGCTGGAACTAGAGACGGGAGCTCACTCCGTCATGCGGCACCCGGGTCTCGAACTGCTGAACTACTGACTTTCCACAGCCTGCAGTTCAGCGTCTTAACCACTTGAGCCACTGCAGCATCCAAGTTAAATGTACCTCCGTGAATATGTCATGTTCGAGGCACTTCTATTTTTGTAAACATTTCTTTCTCTTGTTACCATTGGAGTGGGATCATCTTTGTAAAAAAAAATTGAGCAGCATTTTCCCCTTAACCGTGAAACGTGGAGGATCAGGGATAATGTGGGAAAGTTTCTGTGCTTCCAAGGCAATTGATTTTTTTTTTACATTTAACCCAATAAGAAAGTACATGGTTCAGCTTTTCAACTGAATGATAGCGCCGTTTATTGCACACTGATGTTAACTTCCACTGCTCGCCCACAACTGCTCCGCCCCCCCTCCGTACACTGGAAGCCCTTGTATTTATCATCAGCTTCGTACTAGAAGGGACCTCACGGTTTTCGGCCTGCCAAACCCTACATGGGTCACTGAGCCAACCGTTTTTAAAATGTATGTTTATTTTTAATGTGCTTTTCTCACTGAGGTGCACAGCAGATTTCGCAGTGTAAGTCAATACAGTCAACAGCGGGGGCATCCAGTAAACCGCACAACGGGGTTTGGCTTGCCGAAATTTGAAAACAAGCGGAAATCTGAATACAGAGCTGAAACAAAGCATCGTCATTTAAACGCGACATGTTAATGCAGAAATAACCTAGTAGGAGCGTACTTTGCAGCGACGGGCGGTACACAGTAGTATAGTGTACAGTCCCTATCCCTTTACCAAAGTGTCTTTCCTGAACCATATCCTGACAGTACCTCTGCAAAAAAAGAAACCCTTCTGAATGCTAGAGAAGGCAGGCAACAAACAGCAAAAGGTTTATTGAGTCACTAAAAGAGCTGCATGTGATTTGGGCACATTACATTGTCACTAATACAATTCCATGCTCGACGCTTGAAATGGTGCAAGAAGGAAGGGGAGATGAGGGAAGTGTGAGTGAGCCTTGGTGAGTTGCCACGGGTAAGTGAGGGAGCTTTGTGTTTCCCCATTCTGATTTGAACTCAGCTGTCAAAATCCGGAGCAGGAGAGCTCTAAAACGTTTTCAGAGGTTGTTGAACTCTCTGGGGCATAAGAAAGCGAAACCCGAGTTATTCCCATTTTCTCTGTCAGAATGGAAGAAGATAATCTGATCTTTCCACGTCCTTGTTGTAGAGAGGGCAGTAAAACCAGTTACATCCTATAGTTTTGGAACCGCTTCTTGTAAAGGAGTCTCGGGGGTTTCTGCTTTTTCTCCCTTGCGTGGGATACTTTGGCAGATGCTTACTTGGGAAAAATTAATTGGATAAATAGATGTGCTTTTTTAAATGAATGAAACTAAGATGACTTTTCTGTCCCTGGCTGAGAACCTTTCCTCGTAGTTTGAGGAAGGGCCCTTAGCTCAGTGCTTTAACATGTGCTGTGTGGGTGTGCAAGGTTCCGGGTTCAATTTCTAGTATCTGCAGAATCAAAGGTCTTTGGTAGCCAGGCCAGAAAGACCTGGCTGCCCAGTATCTTAGAGGATACTTCGAGTCAGAGTAAACAGTGCAAGGCTAGATGAACCAGTGATCTCACTTGGTGTATATTTGTTTTCCTTCTAGACTGCCAGTAAGATTTTGCCTTCTCACATAGCAGCCATCTCTTGTCCTAGATGTCATCGTTCATTCATTATTGTGGTTCCACAAACACAAATTTCCAGCGTTCTGGGAATCCATTTGCAAGCCCCAAATCATTGCGTTCCGTACCTTTAGTTTTCACAGAAGTGGATATCGGTGGATAACACATGCATTGTGACGGCAATCTCTTTTGCTTAATTAAACCAGAATCTCTTGCTGAAGAGGAGTCAGATGACGAGGACGATGATGAAGTTGACGATTCTGAAGTGAAAGAAGAAAATGGTGTACTGGTGCTGAACGACGCAAACTTCGATACATTTGTTGAAGGCCAAGATACCGTGCTTTTAGAATTCTATGCCCCCTGGTAAGCTTGGTATTTGCATTATTTTAAGCAAAGGTATATGGTAGGTTTCTGCCATGTATAAGCTGGCCATTGCTATAAGAAGAAGAAGAAGAGGAGGAGATTGGATTTATACACTACCCTTCACTACCCAAAGGAGTCTCAGAGCGGCTCACAAACTCCTTTCCCTTCCCCTCCCCACAACAGACACCCTGTGAGGTAGGTGGGGCTGAGAGAGCTCTGACAGAAACTGCTCTTTTTCAAGGACAGCTGTGCCGGAACTATGACTTGCCCAAGGTCATCCAGCAGGTGCAAGTGGAAGAGTCTGGAATCAAGCCCAGTTCTCCCAGATTAGAGTCTGACTCTGCACACTTAACCACTACACCAAACTGGCTCTCTCTAAAATGTTCTCACCCTCTTGTCTACAGCATGAATGCCTGTGTTTTTTTTTTTTTGTTTTTTTTAAAACCAGCATGGTATAGTGGTTAAGAGCATATCAGACTAATATCTGGGAGAGCCAGGTTCGAATCCCCGCTTGTGGATGAGCTGGGCCCAGTCACACTGAGGAATTTCACATTACCCTTTTTAACCCGTTTTGAAGCCGTTTTTGATCCGTCATGGAGTAAACCGGTATAGGGCTGCCATTTCACACATGGCTTTCCCCTTCCAGTAAAGAGCTGGATCTGAAGCAGTTTGCCATTTCAGACTGCACTGCTTTTTCCCCAGCTTTTTTTTTTGGGGGGGGGGGGGGGGAGTTCGCTTTATAGCGCTATAGCACTACAACAAAACACTCCAGCCATTCCAATGGTGTTGATATACTGCTGTTCCGTTATAGCGCTATAACGTTACCGTTTTATTTTTTTAAAAAGCCGGAGATTGCCCGCGTGGGCGAAAAACGGCGGGGGAAAGCGCATCGGGACCGGGAGAGAAAACTGAAGACTACTTGGAAGCGTTTGTCAGGTAAAACGCTTCAGCCCCGTTTCCTAAATGGGACAGAAGCGTTTGTGTCTAAAATTACAAATATATTCCGGTAGGGAACCAGTTCTAAAACGGTCCTGTCTGAAATGACAGACCAGAAACCGTTTGGGAACCGTTCCTCTTCTGGATTATATCGTCTGTCTGAAATTCCTCACTCTCTCAGCCTAACCTACATCACAGGGACGTTGTGAGGATAAAAACAGGAGAGGAGAATGATGTCAGCTGCTTTGGATCCCCACTGGGGAGAAAGGTGGGTTATAAATGAATTAAATTAATGATAGATACATTATTACGGAATCCAGCCAGTAAATCAACAGAATCACGCTGACGTTAAAAAACATACTGACTATAGCAATTAAGTAGCTAGAATAAATACAAAGGATATATAAAGATACATAAATATTACATAAAATATAGGTCAGCAGATCAGCTTAGAACTAAAATGTGATTTAGCGGGCTTTTCGAATACAGCCGCAGGCGGTACAGAATTTGGCAACAACTTTAGAGGCAGGCTGATTTTCATCTGACAGCAAATAGTTTATATAATCAGATTCCGTCATATCAGGACTTAGTTTTACAAAAGGCTCAAGATATCTGGAGCGGACCTCCTTGTACCAGGGACACCTGAGGATCATATGCAAGATAGTTTCAACCAGGGCTCTTTTTGTAGAAAAAGCCCAGCAGGAACTCATTAACATAATAGGCCACACCCAACAGCAGAAACTCATTAGCACATTAGGCCACACCCCCATGTTACCAGAAGTGTGGTCATCCAGCCACACCCACCTTTTGCTTCTTATTCTGTTTACCTTGTTTGTTGTCAAAACCCAGGGGGTTTTTTGTAGCAGGGACTCCTTTGCATGTTAGGCCACGCACCCCTAATGTAGCCAATCCGGATGGGTTTCTGCTCTTGGGTGTGGCCTATTATGCTAATGAGTTCCTGCTGGGCGTGGCCATCTCAGAAGCCAGCCGGAACTCCGTTCCTGTGCGTTCCTGCCCAAAAACAGCCCTGGTTTCAACTTCCCCTAAGCCGCATCTGCAAAGCTGTTGTGCAAAGGGAATTCCCTTGCTCCTACCCTCAAGCACTGCTGAGGGGAGCGTGGAACACCTGTCCAAAGTGAAGGCTTTTCTGTACTTACGTTCATCGAGATGGACAAGGTATGCAGAATAAGTGGCACAGTATTTAGTTTGCAAAGGCGCTAGAAAAGTTGGGTCTCTAGCCAGGTCAGACGGCCTCTCGATGTCTGTTATTCTTTCTTTCACGATTACCTTAGCCTGGTTCCAGTTTAAATAAATGAACAAACGAGATTTGCACCAGTATTTAACTATGGTCTGCACTGCGCCAGATTTTGGAGACCATCTTCGAGCCCTGGTTCCGAGGGAACCTTGGTTAGCCTTAAACCGTGGCTAACAGCGGTAGCATCGGTGCGCCTGTGGGGAAGCTGCAGGGAACTTAATATTGGTGCCTGTGGCGTCCACTTATTTGGGAGAACTGGTTTTCCCTTTAAATGTGCTCTTTGCTTTATTAAACGGGGTAGATTCGGCTGCCACCAGGAATTTAAGGATTTCCAAACCTTCTCTCTGTTCCTCTTTCTGGTAAAGTAGGCTTTTCAGGGATCTATGTGGTCCTGAGGAAGGATTGAATTCAGTTCTGGGATAACTGAAACAAAAGATGATTTATTGAACTAAGAACAAAATATGAGGTTAGTTATTCTGGAACTGTTTAGGATAAAGGGACTTGTAAATATGTTGTTCAAATGTATCACACACACAGCCTTTTTTCTTTACTTTTGTTTGTTTGACACTCAGTTCCAACATTAACAGGATTGACTTTTTCCTTTAGAGTCAGCCACTCAGGCTAAGGATCTCACACAGAACTGTAATAACCCTCACTGACTTAACTCTCCAACTGAACAATTCCAACTGACTTTCATAACTCTTTCATAACTGACACTCTCATTCACTCACACAGATTCACTTCAAAAAACCCTCCCACACTCTGTCATCCACCAGTCACAGCACATTTGTCTCTCTCAATCACTCTGCTCTGCTATCACTGTACCTCAACCAAACACTTAAAGGCACACACACACTCTTAAGGAATCATTACAGTGCCCAATGTGATGTGTCCGACCTTCGTTGAGAACAGGTGGGAGTGTATAATTTTACAGTATGGTAAAGAAGTGCAAGCGTTTGGAGGCCAGGGTTATGTTTGTACTGGGTTCTTGACACAGGACGCTTTCCGTAGTTTATATATTTATTTCAATTTCTTAACCACCCTTCCCCGCTTGCACGGGGCTCAGGGCGGTTTACAAAGACATAAAATCCAATACAATTTAGTTGTGGAGGTTTCTAGCAGGGGGATACTCACGTCTGTAGTCTTACTCCATCGGGTGCGTTCAGACGGGGCTTTTCAGCCGGCATAAACTGCACTGGTTCCAACCGGTGCAGTTTATGCCGGCTGAAACGCGATCACACTCACCTCCTGTCTGCTGATCCCATCGCTGTACGCCCGTTCACATGCAGCGGGCATCGGTGTTTTTTAAAAAAAGACCCCTCAGTTTGCACATGCGCATAGGCAGCCATTCAGAGAATGGCGAGCTTCACGCTTCACGCATGCGCAAAACACCCCATCTTACCTTTAAAGTTTAAAGGTAAAGGTTCATCTTCGGGCAGCAGGGGAGTCACCGTGATGGCATTTTCGGGCTCAACCATTCGCCTCCACAGCACGCCTGCACCAGACTGGCCCCTACACTGGCACCCCGCAGGCGGGAAGCCAGAAAGGAGCACCTGCCCTCTGCGGGCCTCCAGCCCACACACCCCCACTGCTGGAGCAGCCCCCCCCCCCATCCCTGGGCCCGGCAGCCTCCTCAGAAGCA